ATTATCCTCTAGTAGCTCTTATCTAATAATTACCTACTAATATACTATAAGCATCCTTTTAGAGTGAGGCGCTTTACTATTATAAGGTCTCCTATAGTTAATATAGAGAAATTATAACTATTATTAGCTATAGTGATATCTTTAAAGATATTCTATTATTAATCTATTAAAGTTTTACTTACGCTAGATATAATCTTAATATATTAGTATAGGCTATTCTTTATTTACTAAAGCTATATAAGTTAACTTATAGTGTTCTTAGAAGTATAAGTAGATAAAATAAGAGCTATAAGCTACTTCTCTATATTATCCTTATAGATCTATAATTATATTACTAGTGACTAAATTGACCCTTTTATTAAGTTAAGGCCTAACCTTATAAGCTTATATACTAATAATTAATTACTAAAACTAAGGGATTCCCTTATTATTAATTTAAACTACTTAATCTATAATAATAATTAAGCGTAAATACTAAGACCCTACTAGGTACTAGCCTTCTCCTTAAGTATAGCTTCTTACTCTAAGGTATTAATTACTTTCCCTTTTACCTTATTATTATTAAGTAGAAGCTAGACTTTCTCCTTAATAATCTATATATATTCTTATAGGTCATTAGATATATCAGAGATTAAATCCTTATAGTCTTTAAGGGCTTTAGGGGTTATAGTAGTAATATAATTATAGTATATTTAGTATATTTACTTAGGGATAGCTTAAAATATAAGTACTTATATATTTATATTTACTAAGGCTATATTAATAGTAGATTTATACCTAGCTAATATAGCCCTAAAATTATCTATATCTCCTTAAAGATATTTCTATATAATCTAGTCCTAGATACTAGGCTAGGAGCTTATTAAGTATTTTATATATTATATAATAATATCACTATACTCCTTATAAGCCTTTCTATAGTAATAAAGGGGAGTTTTAAGAGCTATAAAATTAAGTTTAAGGTGATTAGTTATAGTATCTAGTAGATACTTTAATATAGTAGTAAGGTTATTAAGCTCGCCTTTTAGTACCTGGATATCTCTATCTTAGCTCTAAAAGCTATGGATAGTGCTATAAAGTATAATACTAGATTATAAGGTAAAGGTTATAAGTGTAACCACATTAGAGGTAATACTTAGTGGGTCGCCTATAGTAAATAGTATATAGGTATAAGCTTTATAAAGAGAATAGTTGATCTCACCTGTTGAGGCGGGGTATTCTAGATCAACTGTATTAACGAGCTTAGTCACAGACTACTTATGTCACGCATTATGTGGACCCTTCTAATGAAGGAATTCCAGAGGCGAAAACCATACTCTATTATAAATAAAAGGGAGCTATCCTCCCTATTTCAATAAAGCTTAGTTTCTTTAATTAAGATTACTAGTCTATTATAGATAGCGTATTATATCTAAACTTAGCTTTAAATAATATGCCGCTTGGATAACTAGATGTCTATAGGCTAACTAAATTCCGAAAACTTAGTTAGCTACTTCTCCACATAACCCTATATTTTGCTATAGGTTGCGATTAGCTTATAACTATACAATAATAGTAAGAATATAACTTAGCTCTTACTAGGTTCTAGCTAGATCTAAAGTTAGTAAGAATCTAGATATAACTAGTATATATAAATAGCTATAAGAAAAGCTAAAGGTCCTATATATATAATGTATTATAATTAGCCTTAGCTACTAGGTATAGAGAAGGGAAAAATTCCAGTAGCTTTATTTAGCCACCTAGCGGTATAGAGTATATATATATTATGGATTTAACCTCTTTAGTATAATATATAATAATCTAGATATCCTCTTATATAGTAGCTATTAATTAAGATATTGTGATAAGTTTATTTTCTAAGCTTATTTCCTATGCTAATTTGAATAGTTACTACCCTTAGCTATATACTGCTGTCTCACCTTCTTTTGCTGCCTTTATTACACTTGCTCTAATAACCGCAGGGTAATACTATAGGCTGCCTATATATAGTTTTAGAAGTAGTTAAGATATATAAACTTAAGGTCTTAGCACTTAGGATGTTTATACTATATCTTCTTACTACTCTACTTAGCTTACTTACGCCTAGCTAGATGCTAGTTATTAAAATGATTATTTATAATAGTTGGATAGTAATATATAAAGGTATACTCTTTACTAGAGAGTTACTTATTACTAATATAATTAGGATATTATATAGTACCTAGGAGAAGGGGGAATAGATTAGGACTAAGTATAACTTCACTATATACCCTAGGTGACTTAGCTTTAATAAATAGTTTAAGGCTAACCCTTAGCTAGATATAATCTTATTTAATTATCTCTCTCTTATTATAGAGTACTACTATTAAATTAATAGCCTTAATCCTATACTAAAGGATCTAATCTTTATTTAGGTTATTAAGCTAGTAGTAGAGAATCTCTACTAACTAAGCCTATATTAGTATAATAATATTAATAACTAGCTCTATATACTCCTCTTCCTCTTCCCCCTATACTTATATCTTAATATCCTAAGTAGGCTAATAATAAAAGTAATACTTATAGTATACTTTAATAACCTCCTTTTAATACTATATACGCTTTAAGTGGATTTTATTTATAACCTTATAAATCTTCTTCTCATCCTAATAGCCCTTAATCTAGTAGTTCCTTTATCTAAGTATAGTATATTACTATTTAAGCTTTTAGATATTTAGATCTAGTACTAAGCCCGCTTATACTTCTTTAGGTACTATATTAGAAGTTACTTAAGGGTTATATATAAGGCTAATATATATAAATAGCTAGAATAGCTAAGTCTCCTTCTCTTCCTTAAGGAAAGTATTCTAAATATTAAAGTTAGCGATCTTATTAAGATAAGTATAGTAGAATATTATAAATTAAGGATTATAGTATATTATTTAGTTATAGATAGTATTTAGTATATCTCCTAGAATAATAAGTCTAATTAGCACTATCTCTAAGCTTTAGCTATTTATCCTAGGTAGGTAATAAATATAATACACACTATTAGCTATATTAGTAGTACCCCTTTAAGTAAACCTAGGCGTCTACCTTCTCTTATACCCTAAATTAAGACTCTACTAGCTAATATTATCTCTAAGCTTTAAATATAATATAGCATTAGTATGAGAGAGCGTGGCGCTATAGTACCGACAGAATATAGGAGTCTTTAGCTTAGAAGCTTAATGGTATAATACTGAGTATTACGGGCCGGGGTATTTAATAAAATATATTCTTTGGATACTTGAAGTTACTCCTGATATTAAGAGTGATTGTATTGCTTGTTCTTCTTATTATTTACACTGGAGGGAGCACCCGTACTTATACATATCCCCTAGTCGTGATGTTCCAACAGGACCATCCATATGTCTTAGGACCATCTATACAAAACTAATAGCGCAATAACCTATATTTTCCTAGCATACCTTATTATTTTTATGCTCTATGATTATAATAATGATCAAGTCTTTCTCCAACCTGCATGCGAAGATCTATTAAATTTCCCATAGTTTGTTGCTTATATGTAGTAATGCCGCGCTGGTTCCTATTGTGTCCCTCCGCTAGTTTGAGAACTATAGGCGGTTGGCAAATAGCAATAAGGAGAAGCCCGTCTCGTATTTGCATATTATACTTAAACTCCTAGATAGTACTCAGGGTATGATAAAAGGTAACCCTAGAGTTATCAAGCCAGACTATATATAGGCGAGAATAAAGAAGGCACTTACATCTTTTATACTTTTTAGAGTTACTAGAAAGCTACTATAACTTATCTAAGACTAGTAAAAGCGTGCTTAGTAATTTAGTACCTTATATAAGAAGTATATTAAGTAGTTTATTAGTTTAGTAAAGCCTAGCTATGCTTTACGGTGAAGGCCTAGCCGGAAGCTGAATAATCTTATCAGGTGATTTTTCGTCTAATAGGATAAATTAGCGCAGAGTCCACTTAAGTAGTGTAATAGTATCTCTTTTCCCCTTAAGGCTCTAAGAGTCCTTTATATCTACTACTAGATATAAAGTAATTAGGATAATAAGCTCTTATAGCCTAAGCTCCTTGAATTTCTAGCTTGCTTTTTTAAGAATTAGAATAATATTATAGGTATTTAAGTAGATAAAAGAAAGAATCTTTACTAGGTTTAAAAGAATTAAATAAAGTTCACTGGAATTAAGTGAATGCGTTTGAATTATAAAGGATATAAGAGAGGGATTAAGGAGATTGGAAAGTCTTTTGCAGGACCATATGATCGGAAAGATGCTTTAGATGTCTAGCATCTTGAGGATAGTTACTAGAACCTCATTGGGCAAGTCAAGAAGGCTCTGTTGCGACATTTTCGGGAAAGCCTTGCGGATAGACGTGAATGACAGGGTGCTATTGTAATTGAGGGCTGGGGTGAAATCAGCTTAGGATCCTTTATAGCTGACGGATGGGTAGGCATAACCGGACATTAGCCACTTTACAGCTGATGAGCTGATGGATGGGTAGATATAACCGGACATTAGCCGAGTTGACCCAGCCCATCACAGGGCTAAGAACGGCTGAATTTATAGCGTAGGCGCAAAGAAGACCTTTCCGGCTCTCGTATATGCCTTGAGGAACGAAAGGTTCTTTCTTCCGCGCCCTCCTTTCCCAAGCTCGGATCACCTAGTGGGCCGTGCACGCATGCACCACAGTTGCCGTGCGTGGAGGGGGAAGGAGGGCGCGGAAGGAAGAACCTTTCGGAACTACGTTCCTTCAGGCACTACGTTCCTTCAGGCATTCCCGCACATGTTGTGGGATTCTACTGCTTCTGCCTGCTTTTCTCCACCATGCCAACCTCCACCCTGTCTTTGAGCAGAATATTCTTCTATTACTAGACGTCGCTCAACCGTATAGTTGCCGGACCGTGGGAATCTTACCATAGGCCAGCTTAACGACGGCGTATATTCGGAGTTCTTGCGCACCCACAATCGAGCACTCCTGCTAGAGTCTTGCTCCACTTTTCGCACGAGTACTTGACAAAATGTCCTCAAAACGAAATCCTACACAGCGAACCCCATCGCCACAGGCTGATCATGTTCTCCACCCACGCAATTCCCCTCTCGACTGTTTGGCCCGCAATGCGTCGCTCGGAGCCCGCCCTGGTTCGTCGCCGCCGAAGGCGGTCATCGAGTCGTCCTTCCCTCGCCCCAACTCCTCCAGCGATAGTCATGAAACTGAGCAAAGCGATCCTCGGGGTTGGTTTGACCGCTTAAACTTGAACCCAACGGCTACCTTCAACAGCAATATTACAAGCAGTATGCAATGCCGTCTCCTGGTCGCGGGGGGTAGTCTGAAATATGCTGATGTGAAGTTGTAGTTAGTCCACCCTACTTCATGAAAGAATCTGATCCTCCGAGTTCCGAGAAAACATACTCCCATATTGAATACCAACTCGTCCCTCCGATGATTCTCACCGCGCATAGCAGTAGCGCTAGTGACTACCGCAGCGTGATTGACGACCTGACGTTTGAAATCCAACAACTTAGGGAGGAACTGAAGCACTACAAGCAAACAGGCCCCGACATACTTCACAAGGACAGGTTGTTCGAGATCAGGCTTCATGAGCTACCCATAGAGAATAAAAGAGGACTTGAGGGTATTCTGAGAGACTTCGCCACCAATCTTGATGGGTCCCCAGACGAGTCATCGTTACGCAGGAGGAAGACGCCCCCTTTCTATAACCCTAATTACTCCGTGTCCAGAATTATGCTCAAGTATGCCACTTCCTCTCCAGGATCCAACCTCCCATCAGCCGACTCCGCCTACGCCTCCATGTCCACCTACGCCAAGTCCTCGAGCCTTCTCGACATGAGCCCAACCAAATCATCGAACCGAAAGATAGAGAAGCGTTTGAAACAAACTCCCGATGGCCTGTACCCGTTGTCTTCTGACGAGTGTAAAACCCGATGGCGAGGTGGACCCGAAGGTACCAAGTCCAGTAGCGAGAGCTCTAGCCGCGACGGGCAACAAAGTCCTACTGCCGATGAAAACGACAGTTCGAACAAACGCAGACGGAAAAAGACTAGCCGTAGAGTGTGTGATGAGCTCCACTCTGGCAGCTCAAGTTTGGATACACATAAGTTTGATCCGCAGCTAGACGATCCATCCGAGAGCTTCCACTATATGGCGCTGCCCGTTAAGCAGGATTCATCCGGCGGGCACACTTCATTAGACGGAGCGAGCCCTTCTTCTGTATCAGTCAAAGGTTGCAATCTCGGCCAGTGGGGAGGAGGCTTGAGTGGCTCCGAGGAGTCGTCTCGCAAAACTCAACCCCATGAAGGTGCTATCATATACTATAGTGGCGCACCTTTCTGCATCGATTTGTCGCGTGAACCGAGTGACGTACCTACCACTCACGCGCTCTCGAGTAGTCGAAACCAAACCGGTTCCCAGCAATTACCAGACTCCACTCGGTCTCCTCGACGAACGACATCTGGATCGTTTATCAACTATAGGCCGTTGACTGATCGAGGCCAGGTCCTGCGTCAGCAGAGTTCGGTCACTGAAGTTGATATTAATGAATCTCCTGTTCTGATAAATGATGACAGCGAACAAATAAGCGATATCGAGCTGGATTTGACTTGGACCGACAATCAGCAGTGCGTAGAACACCGGGTCTTGGAGGCCTGTGGACTTGGCGGCGTTTTCCCCGAGGACCATTTTGTGGTGTCTGTCACTACTAAGCGGCCCAAGCAAGATATCCATCAATTAACTTATAAAGCTCAACTCAGAAGATTGAACGAAAACAGGGAAGGCGCCATTCATCGACTGGCGACGATGCCACGTCCTCTCGACCTTAGCGTTTTAAATACAAAACCAAGCAAAGAATTGATGCTAAAGGTTGAGTATCTGTCAGGGCGCATCAAGAACCTAGCCCCAGTCTCACTGCCACCAGCCGTTCTCTTTCCGCCATTGAGCACCGATAACTCCACGTCCAGCGTAGGCGATGAGATATCTAGTGGTATGAACAATAACACATGGTTGAGACAAATACGTGTACTAACACAGAACGATATCAGTCCCATAGCTACCCCTATAGGCATCGTTGTTAGCAGCGCCATGCACGCGCATCTGTCAAACATAAGGTGATTTGCTACGCGTTGCCTACTGAAATCCAGGCACAGACCTGCGAGACGGTGGACGGCTTGGCGAAGCGCAAAGCCACCCAGAACGGGCCTTTTCGGGAACTACTCCAACCCGGCGCGCCGAGATTAGTCCACGGGCCGCAACATGCTGGCGGTGGTATATTATGCTGGCCTACTATAGGATAACCTACTGTCTAGGCTAGCCTGCTCTGGAGGATGGTCTAGCACATAGGTTAGCCCATTAATTACAATGAATGTTCAAAGTATTGTTTTATGTGGGCCGACAGGTTGGGGAGATTTGTGAGGATAGTCACGTGAGTGGGAAAGAGAATGAGCCAATAGAAGATGACATTACGAGCATTCCGAGCACTCTATGATTGGCTGAGAGTCGCCTCTCGGTGCTCAACATGATGAACTGATAGCCGATGAATAAGCGGTAGTGGAGCTATGAAGGTGCAGACGCTTATGGCGTGGTTCCCCTGGCAGCATGCTTTCTCTGCTTATTCTGCTTGTCGCACAAACCATCAATTTTCGACATAACTGATTTTCTCTCCTTCCACAAAAATCCATCAGCTTCCATGGAAGAAATTGAGAAGTTACAGGCATAGTTAGGGGCTGCTGACAGTGCTCCAGCGAGGAATGTGGATAATGAGTGTCGGATGATAGCTGCCGGATGAATTTCCCATGCCTGATGCAGGCATTTAGTAAGACTCATACACTACGTGACCTCTATTGCGATAGGGATAGACTACATCGCCTCAGGCTTGTGTGGGGTTTGCCAACGGTCTAAAAATATAAGCCACTACATTCCTCACCGCCAAACCTCGTGTGCTAGAAAAGCATGTCCCTCCTCTTAGATACCATCATCCCACCTAACCAGACAGGCCAGAGTCGGCCTATATATCTTGCGATTTTGCATCGCCATTCCATCATATCCTTCCCACCCCGGACGAACCGACGAACCCGATTGACGAAACCTTCCTTGCTTGCTGCGTGCTGTCATTCGCCCCAGAAGTCACACTATTGAAAGTGGTGGGGTAGCCGCTGGTTGCAGTCGACCCCGCACCATTACTTCATCATTTCATCACCTGTCTTATAACCAAGGCTTGACTCCCAAGTGGACTGAAGGCTCAGGACAATTCGCAACTTTCCACTGAGAGAGCTACTCAAGTTTGTCCCCATTGGCCCTCAGGCGTTCTATCATGTCGGGTGACGATGTTCGTCCCATGTTTTCCTTCAAGATTTATCTCACCTTTAATCTGTGCTAACTATTGCGAGGATAACTTCGGCTTGCCTCCTGATGCCCAGGATTTCGTTGACATTGAGACCTTCAAGGAAATTCTAAAATTGGGCGATGAGGGCTCAGAACGAGAATTCTCAAAAGAGCTTGCCTTCAGTTTCTTTGAACAGGCAGAGAATACTTTTGATGAAATTGACAATTCTCTGTAAGATTTTCTCCTGAGCTCGACTTCGGTTGCGTTCCTCGGTGGACGCGTCACAGCATATGCAGGGGATATAACTAAAACAATGCAATGGCAAATAGTGAAGAAAGGGACTTGAAAAATCTTTTGGCTCTAGGCTGTTTGCTCAAGGGCTCTGCAGCCGCTCTGGGCATTTACAAGGTAAGGGATGCCTGCGAAAAGATCCGGCACTGGGGTGCTGGTAGGGATCAAAGCGGATTCGAGCACATTGAGCGAGAAGAGAGCCTGAAAAAGATCCGCGATATATTGCCATGTCTGAAAGTAGATTATAAGGCTGTGAAGGATTGGTTGATTGAGTTTTTTGGACCTGTAGAGTAGTATATAATGCTGCACGCCGAAAATTTTCTCCCTTGCTCAACAACTTGATTTAGCAAAATTCTCGTGCCTTATACCGGCCTTGGCTCTTCTATGCCGTAGCGAACGGAGCGGTGCATTTGAGAGTGTGGATGCTCTCTGCCCAACCGCTCTTTCATCCTTGGTATTATGGCAGCCCATAGTTGCCCTGCGAGGTTCCATTTGCCTTGCGGGAAATACAGGGAAGCCAAGTTGCTCATGGATGCAAGTGTCTCAGGATGCTTCGGTCCAAGCTTTCGTTTCTTCACGGTGTTTCCATCAGTCGAGTGTAGAAGTTCGTAATCGAAACTGTCCTTCCATCATTAAATTAGTCCCGAAATAACCTTGACCTAGGTTCATTGTTGTTTCTTTCCTACCTCAATTAGGTAGGATAATACCTGTAAGACTCGATAGGATTCTAAGGTCTAGCGTTACACTTTCCTGATGCAACAGCACTTACGCGTGTGGTCAAACGGATAAACTGCCCGTAGTATGAAATTCGCAGTGGTGGCAGAAGGAGATTATGTAGACACGATACAGCACAGTACTTAGTCTGAATACAGTAGGCGGAAACCACTTTCTGGCCACTGGTCTCCCATTGTGGGTGATGTGATGCGGGCGACGAACAGTGGCAATGAGGAGCATGGCTAGGCTCCTCCTCTACATAATAATGCCTTGAGGAACGAAAAGGAGAAAGGTACTTCCTTCCGCGGTCCCCTTTGTAAACTCGAGCCACAAAACGATCCGTGCTCAACGCCTGCACCACAGACGCCGGCGCCTCCTCATTCACCATCACGATCGGTGCACCACCATTTATACGCCACAAATGCTTTGGGGCAGCCACTTTTATCGTACGAGCTGTTTTGCGACTACTCTAACAAATGGGATGATATTGCTTTGCAACCACAAGGATAAGGTGCGAATTGTTACTAATGAGTTCCTATAGTAGGTAGTGGACCGCGTCTGGCCGCAGCGCATGCGGACCCGGCTGTGGTCGACGCTGCATTCGTGCAAAGGACGAGCTCAAGAGGCTCTTCCTGGGTCGCCAGAGATGTTCCCCGGCCTATGGACCAGGATATGCGATACGGTTAAAGGAGCTGCAGGAGAAATCCGCATCCGAGAGGACGAACGAATGAATGACGATAATTACATTTGACACGATAATGGCTGGCTATAGCCTTCCAACAATCATTCCTATTGTAGGACGATACGTATGTGAAACGTCGCGGAGCTGTTAACCGGAAGGATGCGGCATCACTGACCGCTCCTCACGATCTATAGCATGATACCCTTTCTCTCCTCAGAGGGTTTGACAACTATTTGCTGTGGGGGGTTTGTTGATGTTCTTTGAACGGCATCCATCTGGTACTTATTACAGGCCTGTAATCGCTCTTCCAACCTGGCAGCGTTATGAACAGCCTCGTTCATTCGGCTGCGGTCACTCTAATGCTCGTTGATCTCTTCGTCTTTACCTAGATCCTTCCTCTGTATCTTTGATGCGGTCGGCTTGGGCCCTTCCTGAAGCATGTCCATATTGGCTTGCTCCACTGATGGGTCGCGGGGGCTTGCCTCCTGTGGCTAAGTTCCCTGGTTTAACTGGGGATTATCGGTTGTGTGGGTGGGTGGGATGCAAACGTCGTAAGTGAGACTATTACCTAGTAGATAGGGTGGCATTAATTAGTGATTTCAGAGTATCTATTATGATAGCCGCAAAGGGTATAGAATTAGAAGGAAAAGAAGAAATCAAAGCTTAAGGGAAGATATTAACGTTAACACCGTCAATATATACTGGAGGTAAGAGATGTAATAATATACTTATAATTCGGAGTTTAATAACGACTATTAGGTGCTGATAAGGAAAGAAGTCTAGAGGGATTAGATCTAAAGGTATGATCTCCCAGCCTATTGATAGAGCTATCCGTCGACTGTTGCATGAATTTTCTAGCCTTATCATTAATCCATTAATCGATATTATAACTATAATAACTCCAGTAAGCCCTTAAGAGGTTCTTTATTTAGAGGACTACCTCTAATAGTATATTATATTCGTACTATAGATTATAATACTTTAACTATAATAACCTCTTAGTCTCTTCAAGCTCATGCATCCAATCCTTCTTCTTCTAGCGATATTTAGATATAGCTATCTAATTCCATTCAAGATATTACTTACGTTTGGTACATAATACGTCCCTCACTAGCTCTTAATTTAGTTACTACTACCGCTTTTTGGTTTTAGCTTACGAGCTTGCTTTTTCGTTTTATAAGAAGACTATAATAAACTAGAGGAAGTAAGGGATAAGATCGAGGTATTGCTTAATACGTAGGAAGATTTTTTTATATCTGCAGTATAAGAGGTACACAAGCCGATCATTTCAACATTACCATCATCTTTAGCCTCGGTCGAGTTATTAAGATTAATTTAATCGCCGAACAATAGGATAGAGGTATTAAGCTATTAGTCCTAAATCAAATAAGATATTACAAACGCAGGTTTTTAGGGCTTATTTAAGAAGTCATAGAATAGCATTGCCAGTCTTAGATCCACCATAATAGAGTCCATATTAATATCTAGGAATATAAATAATACTCCGAAATAGTTCTTCTTTTATACCTTTTTTATACTGCAGCTATGAGGAACGCGAGAAACGCGAGAAACGAAAGGCGGTGTTGTTAGAGTGGAGGGATGGCGGAGAATATAATTGATTAGGTATTGACGCTCAAATAGCGTAGGCGCAAAGAAGCCCTTTCCGGCTCTCGTATATCGGTTTTCATTGATTTCAGGATATGGGCTGGACGTGAAGACGTCTTGAGCCGCCGTAGTCGCCTGGCAAAAGTCTCCTAAGCGCCTTACTTCTCAAGCTCTCAACTCAAGCTCCTAACTCGTTCCGAAAAGGTATTGGCGAATCCCGGAGGGGACCGGTCTCCTGTCCTACTGCAAGGGCTAGCATATGCCTTGAGGAACGAAAGGCTCTTCCTTCCGCTCACGAAACAAGGTTAAGCTGCAATGCCGCCGAACCCGGGGTCTGAGGTGTAAGCTAGCGCCTTGCTTCTCAGGCTTGTTCCGAAAGGCATTGGCGGACCCCACAGGGGACCGGTCTCCTGTTGTGCCTTGAGGAACGAAAGGCTCTTCCTTCCGCCCCCTCCTTCCTTCAACTGTCTACGCCACAACCCATGCGCCACGGTTTACGCTATATATAAGCCTTAAGGGATAATACTATAACTTATATATTATAGATTTTTTTAATCTATAACTTTCTTATTATATATAGTTAAGACTTACTATAACTTAATTAAGCACTATAATATTATATTATAAGAATATAAAACACCCTATATATTAACCTTATTTAGAGCTAATTATATACTAAGATCACTAATTAAGGTATTTAACTTTATATATATTAATTATTCTCTTATTATAGTATATAGGATCTACTATATTAAATTAGTAATTAATTAAATATTTATATATAAATTAGGAATTTCTATAGTAATTAATACTCCCTCTATATATATTAAGTAGTAAAGGCTATATTAAATTTTTAGGTAGAATATATACTAGGAATACTATAAACCTTATATTATTTATTACTTAATATTTTAATTTACTTAGTATTCCTTATTACTTTTAACCTTTAAGTATTTTTATTTTTATTTACTACTTTATTAACTATATTTAACTTAAAAATTAATTATACTTTAGCCCTAGGTATAAATAAGCCTCTTAATAAAAGGTATAATAATTAAACTTATTAAGTAAATACTAGGAAAGATATAAAGTATTTAGGTAAAACTAATATCTCTATATAACTAAAGATACCTTAATATATATATAATTAAAATAGTAATTTATCCCTATTTAAAAACTTATTAATAAACTAAGATTTTACTAATATACTAATTATATATTAGTATAAGGATTACTTTACTTTTAGAGGGTATTTAAGCTTAGTAGATAATTTTAATAATTATATTAATTAATATACTATTAATTACTTTCCCCTTTATAAAGGGGCTAACTAAAGCTTAGCTATAAGCCTTTAGGGTAAGGATATAACTACCTCCTAAAACTATATTAACTATATATAAGATCTCTTTAATAAGTTAATTATTAAGGAGATTTAGGCTTAGAACTATATTAATATTCCTATTAGTTCTATAATCTATATAGCTATTATATTAGATATTTAGAAAATACCCTTTAATATTATCCTATATCTAATTATAGTTAATAGTATTACTTATAATCTTTATACCTTATCCTTTAAAAGATTACTAAATAGTTTCTTAGTTAAAGTAGGGGTAATTATAAACTTAGTACTAAATATAAATAATATCTATAGTTTATTAGTAAGTATTAAATTAACTATATTAATAAGGCTAAAGTAGAAGTTAGGTTAATATAAATAGATTAATAAGCTTTAGAGGGACTATAACTATATTAAGAAGGTTATATATAGTATTAATAAGCTAGGGGATTAATTATAGGGATAAAATAAGTACTAAAAGGATACTATTTAAGAAACCTTAAATATTAGTTAAAATAGGAGTAGAAAATAGAGACCTTTAAATTATATAGTATATAAAGGGTTAAAGGAAGGTAAGGCTAAGATACTTAAGTTAAAGAGGAAAAGGCTTTATATAAGTATTTATACCTATACTAATACTAATAGTAGCCTAAAGTAGTAAGTCTTAAAGATAATAGTAATTAAAATAATACTAATAATAGGGTATAGTTAACCTTACTAATTATATTAATATATTATAGTGCTAATAAGTATATACTATATTATCCCCTTTTACTCTTAAATTTCTAGCTAATATAATAGGAAGGGTAGAAGTATATTTCCTTCTAATAAGTATATAAAAATACTATAATATTTTTTATTTAGGTGAAATACACCTAATTCTTTATAGTATTAAGATATATCTCCTTAAGTATATTCTATTATAATATATAAAGCTTTAGGGTATCCTTCTATAGGTAGTATATAATTAGTATTTTAATAAAAGAGTATATAGCTTATTATATTTAAGCTTTAGTTATCCTTTCCTTTTAAATAAATAGAAGGCTAGCTATAGCTTATAGTCCTAAGGTAGTTATATAATATATACCTAGATCTCAGGCTTTATAAGATATATACTTATATTAGGCTTATTCTTTTATAAGGTAAGTGCCTTACTTCCTAAGCTCTTAACTCATTCCGAAAAGGCATTAGCGGTCCCTGAAGGGGGACCGGTCTCCTATGTGCTGTCCTACTGGAGAGGCTGGTACATAATGCGCTGTCCAACTGAGCGGGCTAGTGCCTTGAGGAACGAAAGGTTCTTTCTTCCGCGCCCTTCATTCTCAAGCTCGGATCACATAGTGGTTCATGCGAACCGACTTCACCACAGTTTCTGCGCCACATCAAGCCACAGTGTTATGCCCTGAGGAACGAAAACAACACCTGGCGGACCCACAAGCATGCCTGGTACCACATACCCTAAATACAGTAAGCAACACATCCAGCAAGCTTTGCCAATTGGTCTCTGGGAGCATCACGTGTCTGAGCATCCAATCCATTGAAATAGATATACTGTCCAACATTACGGCTTCCCATTCTCCGACCGCGCGATTTCGCGGAGGTGGCTCTGGTTCTGTACCTCGCTACTTTTCTCCTGGTCTTGCAGACCCTTGTTTGCGCTCTCATCGACATTACTGGAGCCTGGCATGGGAGCTTTTGGATGAGATATACTCTCCCGGCGTGGGTGTTGGGTCCCAGTCTTGATTTTTCCAATATCGGAACCCCTCTGGGCTTGCGAAAGGGCAAAGTCACCGGAATCGAAATACCTTCTTTCCTATATACAGTTAATACTATACCAGAATGAGACCGAGAGATAATTAGGAGGGTGCTTGGGTGAAGCACGTATATACGTACGTCCAACTGATGGTCAAGGAGATCTCGATGTGGTGCCCTTCCATAAATTTCTCGGAGACGCTCTGCCCTGTTATTAGGCGTCTGGCCTCGCGAAGCGTTAGGTATTTAGCGCTTTATTGGAGAATAAAGATATATACTCACTCGCCTCGGAATGTCCTTTTGTCTGGGATTCCATCGTAGGATATATGGTGCTGTACTGAGGCGGGGCCGGTAAACGCCAACGGTTTAATATACACAAAAGCAAATATATGTAGTTTCCCTTGGGGAGATTAAGTACGATACTTGTCTATGGTCACGATGCATTTGCCACTCCCCCCCCACATCCTCAGTGAGCGCTTATCGATTGTGGAGGGGTCATTCAACTCCACGTCAGATTCATCGGCGCTTGCCGACATGTGAAACTGATGTCATAGTCCGCCACGAGTGCTCCAATACGGCGGCTCTGAGCCGACAGCTCACGGTGAGCCCTTCCCGCAGACATCCCCACCTTCTGTATAATCTTCCTACAGTTTTTGAGAGAGGTATGTCGTTTGTTAGTCTGCCAAACGAATTACTTCTCTGTATAGCAGAGAATCTGGAATTAGAGAGAGATATTAATAGCTTAGCTCGATCGAATCATCGCCTTCACCATTTGCTACGTACTTATCTCTATTTTCATAATGTTAAACAGTCAGGAGGATCGGCACTTTTATGGGGCTCAGAACACGGGGAAGTGGCCGCAGCTCGAATGTCGTTAGAGACAGGAGCTGATATCCAATGTATGACTGCCGATGGTTGGACGCCATTGTTACTAGCTGCGGAAAACGGGCATGGTTCAGTGGTGGAGTTATTACTCGCAAAGGATAATCTTGACGCAGACTCCAACGGAAGGCTCTACAATCGTCATACGCCACTATCACGAGCCGCAACGAACGGCCATGAAGGAATTGTGAAGCTGTTATTAGCTAGAGAGGATGTTAACCCCGACTCTATGGATAACTTCCGGCGAACACCTCTATTTCATGCGGCACGGAAGGGACATAGTACCGTGGCGGAGTTAATACTTGCAACGGGACGGGTGGGCGTTGGCTCTCTGGACGAATTCGGCCAGGCGCCGCTATCGATTGCGTCAGAAAACGGGCATGAGGCAGTGGTCAGGCTATTACTTGCAACAAACGTTATCAATCCAGACTCCCAGAGTAGCTACGGTCGGACACCGTTGTGGTGGGCCGCGAGGAACGGGAACGATGCGGTGGTCGCGGTACTACTTGCAACGACTGGCGTGGCACCGGACTCTAAGGACAAGTACGGTCAGACGCCGTTGTCAATTGCGGCAGAGAATGGGCACAGGAAAGTTGTGAAACTGCTACTCGCGGAGGACGCCGTTGACCCAAATTCCAGGGATAAATATGGTTGGACACCATTGTCACGGGCCGTGGCGAACAGAAAGAAAGTAGTAATGCGGCTGCTTCCCGAAAGGGGGGCTATCGACCCAGACTTCAAAGACTCTTATGGATCCATATGGCTGGATGCCGCTGTTATGCGGCGCAGGGAACGGGTCTGCAGTAGTGAAGCTGCTGCTTGCGAGGAGTGCCGTCGACCCAAACTCTACAGACGGAAATGATTCGATGATAAACGAATCTAATTCTCCCAACATCACACCACACAATGACGACTTGGCTCTTAACTCGTTCCGAAAAGGCGTTGGCGGTCCCTAAAGGGGGACCGGTCTCCTGTGCCTTGAGGAACGAAAGGTTCTTTCTTCCGCGCCGTCCTGCCGCCAATTCGGACAGCCAAGAACAACACATTCTCAGGTGCTCAAGCTTCTGTTGACAAGCTCCCAAAGAGAATACTGCTCAAGTCCATCCCCAAAGGTGTGAAGGATGCTCGCTTTAGAAGTAGCGATCATGACTGGGACGGCAAGTATGAGCAAGTAATTGGAACGTCTACCAGGAACATCGTCTTCGGCAGTAGGTTCGTGCTGACCGAGTAAGTAAGCTTCCCACGGCCTAAGCGATTGATGCTGACCTCGCCTCGTTCAAGCGATCATATTGAGGACATCTTAGCCTTGGGAAGCCCAATTTGCAAAAAAATCGTGCACTTTATTTTCATATATGAGGATGTGAGCTACGATGCACGGAATAACGCACAGTCTTTGACAAACGAGGCGGTTGTCCGTCTAGGAAAGTCATGTCCCAATCTGAAGAAAGTTCAGCTCCAAGCTACATCTCACGTCACTGATGACGGCCTACTCGGCTTGTTCCAGAACTGCCCTAATCTGACCTCGGTGGAGCTTACCGGGACTTCTCGTGGTAGGGGGGATAACCTCTCTGGAAGAGCGCTTGACGAGTTGCGAGAACATCCGGAGTGGGTTCCCAAGTTGAAGAAGCTGATCCTTGGTGAAGGGGAACACAACAAGTTGTTCATGAAGGTTATGCGCGCTTTAACTAAAGAAAGGCCAGGGCTAACAGTTACTTTGCTTCAACGGTATGAAGTTAAGAAGTGGGGAGACTGGGAGTTGGAAGAGATAAAGATTGAGTACAAGAAGGGGCGCGTGGCGCGGTAGGAGGCGTAGGACTGACGAAGGAAATTACTGTTTCTGAGTCTGTGTACATCTTATCCCATTTCGAGTAATCAACAGTCATGGCGAATCACCTACCTAATGGATGGGGTCTGATCACCAGTCTGAAACTATTTGTTTCACTTTATGACGGGGTCCTCTTTCTATGTAATCGTCTAGAAGATCTTAGTACGCTCATTTACGATATTTCGTCCGACCTTCTTTGTCTACCCGACCCATTTTAGTGGTCTACTGTGCCGATAATGAGCGATAATAAACTGAGCGAGATACAGTAAAAGGCGAAATGGGTGTCGCAAATATTGTTAGATAACTATTTTTACTGGGTCCATTTCTGGCCATTTGACAAAGTACCCTGGCAGAACACATGTACCTTCATGTACTAGTACAGTTGAGAGCCTAACCAGGTTCTTCATTTTAAACATACTCTAAATGTCAATACTCCACACAGTGCTATTTGCCACCAAAAAGCACTTTATATAAAATCTACATAAATTAAGACTTAGAGCTAAAGCAGTTCTCTATTCCCTTTCTTAGACTTAGCCTATAAATAGGCACCCCCTTATTATAACCTACTCTAGAACTATAGCTAAGGTTACCTAAGGTTTAGTTAAGACCCTTTAGGATAATATTTTATATATATATATAATCTTAAGAGTTAGACTATTAATTTAGTCTAGAGCTATATATTTCAGGCTATATAGTTATAATACTATACTAAGATGAATATATCTTAGAGTAGATACTAATAACTACTAAACTAAAATTAATAAGTCTTATATATAATATTTACTTTTACTAACTATCTAGAGCTAAAACTAAGGATTATATATATAGATAATCTACTCCTAATTTTATCTCTCTAAGGTAAATATAAGTTTATATTAAGTCTATAGCTTTAGTTTTCTTATCTATAAAGTTCTAAGTATATACTAAGTTATTTATACTTATTAGTATAGGGGGATAATCTACTCTAAGCTTTATCTTACTTATCTTTATTACCTATATAAAAAGCTTCTCTACCTCCTCCTATTAGCCTTAATTTAAATATATTAATATAAGGTTAGCTATACTTATTAGTATATTAAGATAATCTACTCTAAGCTTTATTTTATTTATCTCTATTACTTATACCTTAAGCTTCTCTACCTTATCCTATTAGCCTTAATTCTATAATATTAATATAAGATTAGCTATACTTATTAATATAGAGGGATAGTTTACTCTAAGCTTTATCTTACTTATCTCTATTACCTATATAAAAAGATTCTCTACCTCCTCTTATTAGCCTTAATTTATATATATTAATATAAGATTAGCTATACTTATTAGTATAGAGGGATAATTTACTTTAAGCTTTATTTTACTTATCTCTATTACTTATATAAAAAGCTTCTCTACCTCCTCCTACTAGCCTTAATTCCTATATATTAATATAAGATTAGCTATACTTATTAATATATTAGGATAATCTACTTTAAGCTTTATCTTATAAGTCTCTATTACTTATATAAAAAGCTTCTCTACTTTATCCTACTAGCCTTAATTCTATAATATTAATATAAGATTAGCTATACTTATTAGTATATTAGGATAATTAGCTCTAAGCTTAATCTTATAAGTCTCTATTACCTATATAAAAAGCTTCTCTACCTTATCCTACTAGCCTTAATTCTATAATATTAATATAAGATTAGCTATATTTATTAGTATATTAGGATAGTCTGCTCTAAGCTTAGTCTTATAAGTCTCTATCACCTACACCTATAGCTTCTCTACCTTATCCTACTAGCCCTAATTCCTATATATTAATATAAGATTCCCTATACTAGTATACCCTTCACCTTCCTCTTCCTTAAATATCTTAGCGGCCTTAATTTAATACTACTCTACTATATCCTATTATCCTTAATATATAAAATACCCTCTAATATAATATAATAGTTTAGCCCTTATGATCTTTTTATCCTTCTTACTTTCTATATTATATTCTAGTATAGCATATATATAAGGTAGTAATCTTAGGTATTTATTATAGGTCTTAAACTAGCTAAATAGGTAAGTATCTAATACTGTTTTTAGGGCTAGTTAAGCGAAATTCTTCCTTTTTATATTAAGCTACTTTCGTATTACTAGTTATACTAGCTAGTATATATTAATATTCTAACCTTTATCCTCTAAGATAAAGGAAAAAGCCTTTAAAGTACTAAGTGCCTTCGTAAGTGCTACTAATTTAATAGGATCTCTATCCTTAAGCTACCTATAGCTATAGTAGTTATTAATAAATTCCCTTAGAATCGCTTACTAATAAAAGAAGCTTATAAAAGAAAGAATATCACTCTTAAACGGATTTCTTCACTAGATCTAATTAAACGATATAATCTATATTACTATAACTATATATAGTATCCCTAAATCTCTCCTAACTATTTTAAATAGTTTACTAAGATAGTTAATAAAAGCTAAGTCGCTCTTATCTAAGAGCTAGATGTATTTACTTAAAGGTATTCTATTCTCTTAGATAAATACTACCGCCTATATAAGAGTGAGTGGCAAATATTTAAGCCTAGATAAGAGAAGAGATATCTTATCTACTAAAATCTCCTCGTCCTCTAGGATTATATATAGTAGTGAGTGTGCTTTATTGTTGTTTATATTGCTAACCTTAATTAGAAGCTTTCCTTAGGCTAGCTATAACCCTATCTTCTTATTCCTAGTTATAATAATAACTAATCTATGCTAGCACTCTAGGATATAGTGAGTAAGACTATAATCTATATATGTTTCTGCTATATTTATTTTTAACAGCCCTTCCTCTAGTTAATCCTAGAAGAATAACTCTATATTATTAGCGTTATTAATTACTATTAGCTACTAAGTTTTATACTTTTTCTTTAGCTATTCTTAAGTAAGTGATAGTATATCAGCTTTTAGATTATTACATCTAGGTATAATATATTCTTTCACGATAGAAGTATATACCTAATGAAAATGTTCTATATTACTAGTATAAACTTAAAATATTACTATATCTAGACGTTATTTTTAGAGCTAGTAAATATAGGCTAATATAATTTAAGTTTTACTATAATTATATTAGCTAATATTCTAAAAAGATAAAAGAAATATACCTAATACCACTAAGACTATAGAGTGCTACCCTTATATATAGCTCTACTAATCCTTATAGTTAACTTAAGCTGAGTTATTACTTAAGTATTTATAGGATACTAAATCTCTTAATAAAATTAGGATTTTAATTATATAGGACTAAGACTAGATTTTCTTAGTAAAAGCTATAATTATATATTTTATTATATATATAGACTCCTCGCTTAAATATAATCATATACTATTAAAGCTTATTAAGTAAGATCCCTAAGCCTCTTATAAACATTAGTATACTTATAATCTTAAGGCCTAAATTTAACTAAGTTAGAATATATATAAGTAATTACATAGATATACTCTACACCGTTTTCCTAAGGATAGCAATATATAGCTAAAGATTTAGTAACTAATAATATAGGTAGTCCTTTTATCTCCTAGTAACTATTTTTTACCTATCCTAGTTAGTAACTACTTCCTCCTAGATAGTATATTATATACCTTTTATACTATTAGCGACTTAAGCGTTTTATAGAAACTAAAAACCTCTAAATAATCCTTATTACCTAATATAGTAGGAAACTCTCTTTATTAAATTGTAAGTATCTAAGAGTTAATATAACCTAAAGACTTAACTAGGAACCAGTTTAGCCTATCCCTAACTATTAGGATAAGTAAGCTAATATCTATACTATTATATAGGACCCTAAAGAAGATAATCCTATAAATAGCCTTAATAAAGTTTTAATCACCCTTATTCTTTAACTTTAATAGGGCTACTAAGGCCTATATTATATATTATTAGTATATATAAAAGACCTAAGTATATAGATTATTTTACCTACTTTATAATTAGGCTACCTAGGCTATAGGCGATAAGGATAATAGGTCTTATTAATAGAGTAGTTACTAGTATATAGAGACTACTATAAAATATAGTAGTAAGATCCTCTATATTTTATATATTCTCACTCTCTATAATACCTAATTTATATCTATAGGTTATAACCTACGCTATAAGCTACCTAGTCTCCTCCTAGGTAATATCTTAGGGGAGAGAATTATATAACTATATATAATCCCTACCTCTCTCTTTAAATAACCTAAAAGTATAGCTACTAAGACCTAATAATATAATAATACTAATAGAATTAGTAAGGAAACTTTTAATTTTCTAGTAATTAGTTTACTTACTTGATTTTATAGGCATTAGGTAGTAGTATATAGAGTATAGTAATACCTAGAAAGGCCTTATTAAGTATTAAGTATTAATCGCTAGTAAGTTAGTTATCTAAAGGCTTAGGTAATAATATCTACTTACTCTAGCAGCTTTCTAAGGAGAGTAAGGGGTTATAGAAGACCACTATAGCTATCTAGGAGCTATTATAGATATCCTAGGCGAGGGACTTAATAATTAGGATAAAGCTCTTTCTCTCTATAAGGAATAACCCTAGTTACTCTAGATCCTAGTTAATAGGAATACTAATAACCTAGAATATATTATAATCTTTCAGTGGTTTTTTACTTATAGGGGTCTCCTTATTTATATATACATCCTCTAGTATTAATTATACACAACCTTTAAGGACCTAGCGCTATATAAATACTATAAGGATCATAATAGTAGCTAGAAGGCTAATTTAACTAGGTAAATCTATTATTTTAATAATATTAAGCATGCTCTAGGCTTATATAAGTAACTAGGGTTCATTTAGAGGTAGATACTAGTATAACATCCTACTACTATTAGATATAGAGGAAGTTTAGCAGATATTATACTTATATATATAGGGCGAAGACTATCTAGTGATAAGAGTTAATAGAAGTAGAGGTGAAATAGCAGGAGAGGGGGAAGGGGGGGATAAGGCGACCGGCTGTGT